ATTTAAATCCATAGAGAGCATCGTGAGACCTCAGTATTCCATATGTGTGCCCTTTGGGTGTGTGGCATTCTGGACACCTGAGGAAGCATCGCTAGAGCAGTACCTCCCAAGCCTCAGTCGTCTGCATGCCGTGCAGGCACATGGGGTTTGTTTCTCTGCTGTGTCCACTGAGGTGAAGGATGAGTCACCCTGCCTGGGTTCAAATTCAGCTCCACCATTTAACAGCTCTGGAATCTGGATGATGTGCTTGAACTCTTTGCCTGAGTTTTCCCACCTGTGAAATGGGGCTCCTATTACTACTACATAGTGAGCTTGAAAGAATTAAATACTTGGAAATGTGTAGAACAGTGCCTGGGGATTGTAAATCCAGCCATGGGGAAGGTGTTTACCACTGGAAACAGGGTTGTGTGGCTAGTGGGAGTCCGCCCATTATCTCATAGCCAGATCTCCTGGGAAAGCGCTATTGCTTTATTGCGGTTCGTTCTGGTCTGACGGCTGCTGCTTAGTAGACTCTGTAGCACTCAGGATCCTCCAGTGCCTGGGCCCTGCCTCTCTCCCCTGGCCTCCTCTCTCCTCATCTCATATCCAGCACTCTAGCTGTACCAGCTTGCCGTGCCCCGAACACCACGTGCTGTTGCACAGTGGCCCTCTGGGTCCTGTCCCCACATGCGCCCCACAGCACGCTCTGCCCAGCACTGCTCATCTCCCCAGATAGTCCGAGCATTCTGCCACCTCTACAAGCCTTCCCTGGCCGTCCCCTATGCCCCTTCCTAGAACTGCCGGCTCTCTTCTGTAGCCCCCATTGTGTCCATACTGTCTGGGCTTCTATCCAAATCACTTGTAAATCTGTAGGGTGTGTGTTTACTTACTTTGTTTATCTATCTAGCTATTTATTCACAGAGATCTCCTTCTACAGGACTCTTAGTTTCCTTGAGGTCAGGGATGTATCCATCTGGGATGTATTTGTAGTGACAGTGCTCAGTACATATTAGAAAAAAATGACCTGGTGACCAAACGAATGTGTGAGCTCCAGAAGAGGCCACCTCCACTTCTTAGATCCTCAGATCCCGCATGCTTTTGTGAATGGTGCTAGCCTCGAGGCCTTTTCTACAGGCTTTGCAATTCTCAAAGATTCTTTAGGAAGAAATTTGCTCATTATCATTTCTCTTAAGGCCATTTATGTATTTTTATCAATTTTTAGTTATCTAAACTCTCTTGTCTTTAGGCATAATTTAGGGGTGACAAAAACAAGTGATAGAGGGTGACAAGCCACTCAGGGGCAGGGCAGCATCCCTGAGGCCCGAGTGCTGCCCAACTACACATAAGGCCTTCCCTGTGGGACTCTGGTCTCTGTCTGCGGCCTGGAAACCTGGGAAAAGGAGACTCTTCTAAAGGGCGAGGGCTCTGTGGGTCCTGGCAAGAGTGAGCACTGTCCTCACTGGGATTAATGCCCAGACTGATGGGATTTCAGTAACAAAAATGTCAGCCTTTTATTCATAATGCAGGGCTTTACCTTGAAGACAAAATGACATCAAATACACGTGCGTCACTCTGTGTTTCCCTGGAGCTGTCTCACCTCCCACTCGGGGATCACTGTCTAAGGAGCACTGCCGCAGCTCCCCCACCCCCGCCCCTCCCTGCAGGTGGAGCTTTAGGATGGATCCAGGAAGAGGACTGCGGCTTTCCCGGGACAGGAAACCATTGTGGCTGTGGCGGGTGACACTCCCTTGCCTGTTGACTCGCCCTGAGCCAGCAGCGCTGGGTGTCAGGGGATCCCGCCCTGGGGGAGGTGGAGCTGGCTGGCTCCCCCTGCACCTCCTGCCCTCTGGACTTCTTCTTCCCTGCACTGCATTTGTTTACGGTCTTGATTTTCAAAATCCATTCCCTGCTGTGGAGTTAGTTCCATAAACATTTGATGTAAGTTATTTTAGAAGGACTCAAAACTTTCAGGTGTTGTATCGCTTATTTTACACTTCAGAGACTACCCGCAAGACAACCTGTGCTGTCAGATCTACCTGTTAAATGGTTTTCTGAGAGACCTTTTAAAGAGATTCTCCTGAAGTGGCTAAGTCCATTCAAACTGCTTGTCCCTGTGTCTTGTGAAGAAGGTGGCAGCATGGCGCTGGTGTTGGTGATGAGGCCTGCACTGCTCCCCCACTGGACAGCACGCCACAGTCCACCCGCTCCTGTGCCACACTCAAGCCATGGCCACGGAGAGCCAGCAAGGCTCCACACTGCTGCTGAGCCCAGTAGTCAAGTGCAGTGGCAGGTGGCCTGCCACGCTGTGGGTCGTCATATGGGGCATCTTGAAATCGGAGACGCTTCTCAGCTGGCCTGAGTCTCTCCAGCCAGCCTCTCCAGTGTTGCTCGTAGAAGTGCCTCTGATCAATACCGAGGGCCCTGCCATCACCCACCGGGGGGCCTGCTGCTCAGAACAGCCCGTGCGAGGAGAGTTCAACCCAAATCAGGACCTAAAATCTAGTCAAAGGAGCAGACTGACCCACTTCTCAGAGCTTGACAACTTGATCAGACAGATTAGAGAAAGAACAACACAAAGAGTAAGCTTGATTTAATGCCTGTGTATGGAACCCTGCATGAACAAATGGAAGATGTATAAAGATGGATCATATCTTGTGTCACAAAGCCGGTCCCAAGGAGTACCAGTGAGCCCAGTAACGCAGACTGTTTTCTCATAATGATTTAATAAAATTAAAAATTAATGACTCGAGATTGCAACCCCACCACTAGCCCATCTCAAAGCCTGTATGTTTGGAAATGTTATGTGTGTGTGTATATATATATCATAGGTAAGGAGAAATCCTGATAGAAATCACAAAATATTTAGAATCAAATGACAGCAAGAATTACATATCAAAACTGGTGAATGTAGCTAAGATGATACCTAGATGAAAATTGGAAGTCTGAAATGCATTTATGAGAAAAGAAGAATTAATGATCTATGTGTCCATCTCAAGAAATTGGAAAAAGACAAGAAACCCAAATAGATCAAAAAGATGGAAATAATATAGATGAGAGCTATAGAGTTTAGCATTTGTGCTAGGTTATTTCATTATAAAAAAAAGATCTGGGGGCCAGCCCAGTGGCATAGCAGTTAAGTTCACGCACTCCGCCTTGGCGGCCCCAGGCTCGCAGGTTTGGATCCTGGGCTCGGACCGACGGACCACTTGTCAAGCCACGCTGTGGCGGCGTCCCATGTAAAGTAGAGAAAGATGGGCATGGATGTTAGCCCAGGGCCAATCTTCCTCAGCAAAAAAAGGGGAAGATTGGCGTCGGATGTTAGCTCAGGGTTAATCTTCCTCATAAAAAAAAAAAATCGGATAAAAACATGGCAAGATGTTAATATCTATATAATATTGATGTCATGTAATATTCTGAATGTTTCTGTTTGCTTGAATTATATTATTCAAAATTAATTTGTAAAAACTAGAGGCCAGTAAAACAAACATTAACTTTGATTATTAAAAGAAAAGAAAATTAGCTTCTACAATTTGAAACATATGTTTTAGTGGCTTTCCAATTGGGCTCCTCTATGTAATGAGAGGAGACTCTCTGTGTCTGTCTTAACGCCTGGGCCACACCTCCTCTGCATCAGCACGTGGGCCCCCTGTGCCTCCATGCCGCTGCACAGGAGGGTGGCTTTTACCTCTTTGAGAAGTCTCCCAGGTCTCCTGGCAGGGATTAACATTCAGATCAGACCATCCCAATTGTACCACGGAATTCAGTGAGAACCTGCCTGGCTGTTTCTGCAAAATACCGTCACAAGCAAATAGAAACTTGATTTTTGTTCAGATAGGTAGGAGAAAGACAGCAGCTACTAGATATCATTAGTAATGTGACTCTGAAATAAACAGTTACCACTAATAACTTTTTCCAGCTTCTGGATTACTTTAGAGACTCTCCTGAGCTTGCAGGGCAGGCACTGGGTCCTTACAATGTTAACTTCTTATCAGCGTCAGTCATAACTCTTTGATACTATGTAACTGAAGTAAAAATCAGTGATCACTGGAGCACCGGGCTGACAAAGCCTACGACTGTCATCTTTAACTTTGGTTTCCAGTTTTTGCTTCTCCCAATCAGGTGTGCCACCTGTTTTATAATGAAGTTCTCAGGAACACAGCCACACCCACTCCTGTGTGTGTTGTCTGTAGCTGCTTGTGCACAAGGCGGAGTTAAGGAGGTATGGCAGAGACCGTATGGCCCATAAAATATTGACTGTTTGGACTTTTACAGAAAAGGTGAGCTGACCCCTGCTCCAAACAGGCACATTGTGCTCTTGGACTGACTTGTAAATATTGTCATAAATGTAAACTTACAAAATGCATTGATAATAAAACATGGGTTTGGGGGACTTTTTCTATTGGGGCTCCTCATAAGATTTCATCCTAAGAACAAGCAAACAAACAAGGCATCTGTTGACAATAAAACTTGAAAACCACTGTGTGATGGCATCATCGCAGGGACATGTGACATGCAGTTAGCAGCAAGGTGAAGGTAATTCTGTGGGTCAACCCTGTGAAAGCGAGCCTTCAAATGTTCAAAACCTGAAAATAAACATCAGGTTGCTAGTATTGGGGGCATTTGTTTAGACTTAAAATCATTTTATTAATATTTGTTTTTTGTGACAATATAACAAAAGCAGCCCTTCGATGAATTGCTTAAGCATGCTTTAGAAATCCCTGATATTTTGAAAAGTATATACTGATTTCATGACACAGTTGGTAGGATGTTGTTCCTATCTGCCACAGTTTAAAAATCTCAGTTTTTACACTTTCTAAAACAAAATTAGAAACATTCCAGTGCCTGCAGTTTTCTCTCTCCTGATTGGCTAGGGAGAATCCTGAGCAGTCCTCAGCCCTCCACAGCGTGGGCATAAAGGGAATGCCACTCGAATGCAGCGCCTGCAGGCCCCTGAGGGAGCTGTGCTTCTTGATGCCCTGCCGAATGGAAGACATTCACCGCTTCCCTTTGTATCTTTCAAGGATATTCCCCGAGTCCCTCCGGTGGCTGATGGCTACCCAGCAGTTTGAGTCTGCGAAGAAGCTGATCCTGCACTTCACACAGAAGAATTGCATGAGCCCCGAGAGTGACATCAAAGGGGTGATGGCCGGTGAGTGCATGTCCGCTTCAGCCTGTGGCCCTGTCCTGGACCAGGAGTCCCCATGGAACAGTCCCTGGTGCGTGGGTGGGTTTTGTTTTAGCAAGCAGCTGCCTCGGCTAGCTGTTTGACTTCCTGTGATGGCTGGTCTGCAGCTAGACTAGGAATGTGAGTGAACTGAGACTCTCTCCACCGTCTGGGTGTTGGATTCTTTTCTGATCAAGTCTCACATACTGTGGTGCCCCCAGAGCCTGTCCAAACCCAGAAGTGAGGCCTGAGCCTGATCAGCACCTGATCATCAGGGGAATATTTGGGAGGGCTGAAACCCAGGTCTGGCACACAGCCTTGCCTGCCTGCCAGGTCTAAATGCCGGCAGAGTCCTGGCATGGGGTGCGGCTGGCCCTCACCACCTCTCTTTTCCCAAGTATGACTTTCCTTTATCTATTTCTGTCATGACCTATTTGTTGGGCAACTGAAGTGGAAAAGTGAAGTGTTTGTGTGTAGTGGTCCAGATGCATAGAATTCGTGTGTATCAGGAGCATCGCCACAAACTAGACTGGGCCTTCCAGGCTGGGGATCCACAGGTATCACCAGGAGGTTGTTAAAATCCTGACTCCTGGGCCCCTCCCGGGCTGCCCTCAGGTGATCCAGAGATTGGGAGTAAGCCCCAAGGACTTGCTCTTTTCATAAGCACTAGAAGAAATTCTGATGCACGAGGTGTACAGACCTCCTTTTGAATCCCCAGATAGACGAAGCCCAAGCTCTGAGCCACTGCCACAACCTGAAGACCTGGTATAGATAGTACTATGGTCACAAAATTTTCCAGGAAAATAATCTGAAGGCCCTTGTCCCAGAAAAAACATGTACATTTCCGTCCCTGACCTGAAATTCTATCCAGCAGATTTTACTAAACGCCCGCCACGTGCCAGGCACTCTTCTAGAGCAGAGAAAGCCTTGCTTTCGTGGAGCTCACAGGCAGGCAGGGAAAGGCAGACAGTGAACAAATGAGCATATGCTGCGTCAGGAGGATGAATGCCGTGAGAAGAATCCGCAGAGTGGCGGGGCGGAGGGTGGTGGAGCCTGGCCCAGGGGATGGGTGAGCAGAGACCTGAGCAAGGTAGGAGAACGTGCCCTGAGGCCTCCATTCTCGATGGGAAAGGAACACATGGGAAATCTGAATCAGGGAAGTGGGGTGTGCTGACCAGAAAGGGCTTCTAAAATCGCCTATTCCACGGTCCCTACATAGGCTTTTCATTAGACTCCTGATTCAGAAGACCTGGGGTTCATTGTCAACAGATGTTCCCCAGACGCTGCTGCTCAGCCAGGATGGCATCCTGGCCTTGGCCTGTGCCCATGACCTGAGAGCTGGGGACAGCCAGACTGCCCCCTCCACCTGGGGCAGGCTTGGTGTGCAGAGCAGGCAGCACAGGCAGAGAAGTCAGGAAGCCCGGAGCCCTCGCTGTGCTGGAGTGAAGAGGGCGGGAGCTGGGTCTGCCCTTCACGGGGAGTACTAAGTGCTGGTGCTCTGCACAGAGGCGTCTGCGGTCCCTTCTTGTCCAGGAGCAGCGACAATCAACAAGACGACATTCACAGAGTGCTTACCGTCACTTTTCTAGATGATTTGCAAATATTAACTTAGATTTAATATTTAGTCCTAAATGCTTGACATGTATTAACATATTTCTTCATGACAATCCTGTGAGAGAGGCACTATAATCATCTCCATTTGCAGATGAGGAAACTGAGGCACAGAGTGGTGAAGTATCTTGCCAGAGGTCACACAGCTAGTAAATAGTTGAGCTGGGATTTGAACCCAGGACTTCTAGGAGAAGCAGCTTCACTGTCTGCCTCTGAGCAGTGAGGGAGAGCGCAGACAGACACCGACGCTTCTGTGCAGAGACGAGTGAATGCTGAATTCACTGCTGTCTTTTTCGGCCACGTTTGCTCATTTTGGAATGTCCAGCTATCTTCCCCAAACTTCTCCACTCATTAGCAGGTTAATGCTTTTAAGTCTTACAGTATAATTTGTTTCTGGCATTTCCCTAATTAAATCACCACTCTACACTGCTTTTGGGTTAAAATATTATCTGGGAAAGCTTGTTTTCTCCATCCTAATGACACAGGTTAATTTCCCTCATGTTTTTTCCCCTTTCTTTGCTTATGAGTTTTGCTGGTGTCTATTTCTATGCTGGTGTCCCCGCGGGAGGCTGGGGAAGGCAGCAGACACAGGTGACCTCTCCCCACTCCGGAGGGTTATCTCCGTGTCACTCCTTGGGGCACACATTTCACACCTGCCTCTGGGTCTCGCTCACTCGTGGCTGTCACCCGCATTGATGACAGCACTGTGGCAGAAGTTGGCCCAGGGCTTGGGGGAAGACAGGTGTCTGTTTCACCTAAACTGGCCACCTCGGGGCCAACCCGGTGGCGTAGCGGTTAAGTGCGTGCGCTCTGCTGCAGTGGCCTTGGGTTCGGATCCCAGGTGCGCACCGACGTACCGCTTGTCAAGCCATGCTGTGGCGGCGTCCCATATAAAGTAGAGGAAGATGGGCACAGATGTTAGCCCAGGGCCAATCTTCCTCAGCAAAAAGAGGAGGATGGGCATGGATGTTAGCTCAGAGCTGATCTTCCTCACAAAAATAAAAAAGTAAAAAAAATAAATAAACTTGCCACCTCGACTGTCTTAGGCTAGACTTGCTTTTCTGACGGGAACCTTCCTCCCATCACCTCATCTAGTCCGCCTGCCAGCACCTTAGTCTCTCCCTCGGGCTCTTACTTGCCTTGACTCCATCCTCACTGCCACCCTTCCCCTCACACTACCACCTGCTCAGAAACTCTTCAGTGGCCTCCCAGGGCCTGCCGGCTGATCCCCAGGTCCTTCAAGCCGCTCTGAGACCTTCTCACCTCTGCCTGGCTCTCGCAGACGCTCTGGCGTTCATTAGGCTCTCAGAATGCACCGCACACTTCCTCTCCACAGGCCTTCCCCCGCTCCAGTTCCTTGTCCTCTCTGCTCGCTCTCCTCCTCCTAACTTCTTGGAGACCAGGGTAGCCTGACTTCCCAGGCCCAGGACAGCCCTCCAGTGGTAAGGAAAGGAGTCACTGGCCTAGCCAGACCCATGTCCCCTGGTTAGACATCACAGAGATCAGCTGAAATGCAAAGGAGCAGGACAGAAAGGGGCTACAGGATGGAGTAGGAGGTGCCCAGCTTGTCAAAATTAAATAGGCCCTACTTGTTTTTGTTTTGAAATATTTCTAATGGCTCTAAATCAAGAGGGTTGAAGAATTTGGGCAGAGGAACAGAGAGGAAACGTTTTTAACAGTTGTTTCCTTGGTGCTCAGATCCCATCAACTCTCAGTGCCCGTTTACTCCAATTATTTCCACCTGCAAGGACTTTAGAATGTTCCGGAGATTTCTGTCTGGTAACTAGAGAGATAGAAAGGCCTCTTGTATTCACTTACCTTCGAGGGTCTCAGAAGTCACCGAATGCTTCCTATGACTCAGAACTGGGTGAGTGGATTTTTGTCCCTGAAGAACAGACCTAGTGCTGAGGAAGCTTGTGTTGTTGACAGGCTGGTGATGTGTGTAACAGAGACAAAATATCAATAGCCCTGGACAGGTTAATTTAATTCCATTTAGAATAATGCAGTTGCCTCTGTAGACTACAGTCAGTTCTGTAGACTTTGGGCTCTAGAGTTTAATGCTATAAAAAACTCAGGTCATAATTAGAATTGCTACAGCTTCTTTAACAACATCTATTTTAAAGACAGTAATGTATTAGGAGTTAAGTTTGGGCCACATTACAAAAAAAATCCTTTAACATAAACATGCTAATGGACATTTAAATTTTCTTCTTGGAAGGTTTCCATAGTGAGCAAGTGTGGCTGTTATAGTTGATTCCTGATGAGTTTTACAACAGTGAGGATACTCAGATCACTGGATCCAGCATTATCTGTTAACCATAACATTTCCATGCTCCTTAAAAGTTTTCTAGTTTTTTAACCATACAAAACCATAGGAAAGGATAGCTCTAAGTCAAATAGGCCTGTTTTTACAGAGGAAAAATTAAGTTCAGGAAGACCTCAGGAGCTGAGGGGGTGTGTGGATAGACAGCCGAAATGCCAGCCGTTCTGGCTTGTGCACAGACTAATCTTTGCACCTAAAAATGGGAAGGAAATAAGTGCTGGACACTCAGGTGGCAGGGTATCCCTCAGACATAGGAAAGGTTTTTCCTTCTCCCTTCTATGCCCCAGCTGGTGATGCTGATCCAAAAAACAATTTTAAATAAAAACTCTTAAACCCTTATGGTTAAGAAACATCTTTTTCTTCAAACTGTAACTGATGAGGTTTGTGACCCTCCTGCCATTGGAGGGAGGAAGGAAGGAGGTGGAAGAGGAGAGCAGAACTGGGACATCCAGGGAGGAGAGTGGCCCTAAGAAGGAAGGGGGACACAGTCCCCTGAGGGAGCTGCTGCTCCGGGCTCCCCCTGAGGCAATCCTATTTCCTCCGAGCACTAAAGGCTTCCTCAGTGGGCCTTCCTACCCCCACTGCTTTTTTATTTTTAGTAAACTTGTTTTGGAATAATTTTAGGTTTATAAAAAGTTGCAAAGATAGTACAGAATTTGTGAATACCCCTCATACATCTCCCCGTTGTTAACATCTTATATTACCCGGGTGCATCTGTCACAACCGAGAACTGCCATTGGTGCACTACCGTTAACCAACTCCAGGCTTCATCTGGCTGTCACCAGTCTTTCAGTCAACCACCCCTTCCTGCTGCAGGATCCATCCAGGATGGCATGTAGTCGTCCCATCTCCCCAGTCTCCTCTGCTCTGTGACAGCTTCTCATGGCCTTGATGGTCTTGAAGAGTACTGGCCACCCACCTGATTAGTTCAGGCTCTTTTTCCCTTTTAGCTCCTCAGGAGGGGATTACCCCCCAAGGACGTGCCCAGCCAGGAGAGCAGAGAGGGGCCCAGGAGGCTGATGTGTGGCATCTCTGCTCACAGACATAGCGGGATCCTGGAGGCTGAGGCGTTTCCTTGATCTTCCCTGTTAAATTGCCAAGCCAACACCAGGACTTCAGCAAACCCCTTAACCTTGCTAATGTGGCACTGGAACGCTGTCAGGGTCTGTTCAGAATGGCTTTCAAAGCTAGTCTAAGCCTCACCAGAAACTCTAACTGTAGTTGGTCACATCACTTTGAGCTAAAACGTCGTCTCCCTTGTTCATCTCCCAGAGACTTTTGACTGTTAACTAAAACATACACATAATGTATGTGTGTGTATATGTATGTATACACACACATGCATACATGTTCCTTTATTTATTTCTCTTTCGAAGCTTTGTGCACTCGAGGGGTAGTTTCAGAAGCAGCAGCTGCAGCCACAGTAGGTTCTGCCCACAGAGTTAAGGGGCATCTCAGCATGTGCTCTCCTGGTCTCGAGCAGTGGGTGATGCAGACAGATCAGACCCCACGAAGAAATGAACTGCCTGTTTTGATTTGCCTGGAGCCTGATGAGTGCCTCAGTAACCTAGAAAAATCAGCCTTTAGTTTTGTGCTCAAAGTGGAATGAGTCTACACTAATCGCTTATTTGTGTACCCCACCTGGCTCCGCAGAGAGACTGTGCCATGGAGAGGTGTACTGACAGGGCCTTGGCTTCCTGCAGGCCCCATGAGGCAATCTGACCTGCAAAGTTAGAGTCTCTGTGAACACATTTTCTATTCTGAAGGCCAGAGCCTATCCCCTCCCTTAAAGAGGAAAAAAAATCTCCCCTTTTCATGATGCCTGAAGTCGGGAAACGGGGCTGTCTCTGAGGCCGCCTGTCAAGGGCCTTGCCGAGAGGTCACAGATTCTCTTTCTCTGCAGAGCTGGAGAAGGAGCTTTCCCGGAGGCCCAAGAAGGTCTGCATTGTGAAAGTGGTGGGAACCCGGAACCTGTGGAAGAACATCGTGGTCCTGTGTGTGAACTCGTGAGTCACAGGGGAATGTGTGCAGGGCTGAGGTCAGGGAGCGGCAGGAAGAGCCAGCAGTTAGAGGAGAGGCCGGCAGGGCCTCCTCCACCCCCAGCTGGACTTTGAATCACGGCTGCGCAGGGCCCTCTGGCCCGCCAGGCTCCGCTGTTTGCTGAGGGGCCCTGGGTAAGTCTGAGAAACCCTGTCAGAGCTTCCTGACTGGTTACAAGTGCTGGGAGATATGGACGCCCCTCCCCCCAGCAGGCAGGTCATCTTACCCTGCGTGCTGCACAGGTGGGGGCCCTGAGCTAGTCCACACAGACCTGCGTCCTTAGGATGGACTGTCAGAGAGCAGGGTCACATCCATGGCAATCCCGTGAGCGGGGCTGTCCCACCACGTGTCTTCTGATGAATATACCTCCTCCAGGAACACAGCGGGGAGGAGCTCCCAAGTTGGAATTTCCAGGCACTGGCACAGGAAGGGGATTTGAGACCAGTGGGGCCTGGCTGTCTCCTCAGCCCGCACTGCAAGGTGGCCTTGCTCCCTACTTAGAGCCGGCGCCTGCAGCCCAGCCCCAGTCAGAGGCCCAGACCCCAAGGCAGCTGCGGGTTGTGGTGGGCCAGCCTGAAGCCCAGCGTGCAGCCCGGATGTGCTCTACAGGGCACGTCTGTCACGTCCGCCCCTGCTCCACAGTGTATCCCCGTCACTCACACGGTTCCCTGACAGCCTGTCCTGGGCTCAGTGTGCACCTAGAAGGTCTTTTCTGCTTTGACTGACAGCTCAATAACCCTGCCCTTTCCTGACTGCACAAAGGGGGCCCTCTTTCAGGGTCAGAGGTCATCTGGGGAGATAACTGTTGTTCAGGGTCAGAGGTTATCTGGCGGGATAAAGCTTGTTCAGGGTTAGAGGTCCTCTAGGTGGGGATTAACTCTCATTTGGGGTTAGAGGTCATGGGGGGGAGAGGGTTTGCACTCATGCGTGAAAGGTCTCAGGACGGTGTCAGGTAAAGAGAGAGGCCCAGAGTCAGGGCTCTGGTCTGCCATCCCCATGGCTGTTTCCATCCAAGCAGCTCCATTCCATCAGTTCTTGCCATTGGGGTTCCAGATTAAATTGGGAGAGGATACAAAAGGTTCTACTGCCAAAGTGAGGAAGAGCACAGATCTCACCTACACCCTTGTCCTACAGACGAGAACACGGAGGCCCAGGCAAGGGAACGACCAACCACAGCCACACGGTTGGTCAGGGCCCGAGCTCTCAGGCCTCAGCCTCCTGGCTCAGAGTTGGGTCCAGGCACAGCCACTACGCTGCTGTCCAGTCTTGGGCAGATGCTGGCTAGGCTAATGGGACTATTAAGAGTGGAGCGACTTCTCCAACTTTTATTTTGGAGAAAACCAAAATGTGACAAAGACGAGATGGCCAGTTTCCATTTCAATGATTCTTTGTTGGGGGGATGGGAATCAATCTCCCTGGCTTTGTTATCTTCAAATGACCTGTTGTGGTCAGAGGACTTCCTGTCCACCAGAACAAAAAGGGGAAGATTTCCTGAGACTCAGTAGGCCAGGAAGGTCACCTAGGACCCCAGGAGACTCCATTAATCTCATCCATTGCCAGATTATAAATCGATCGCACGGGGAGCTAGGTCCCCTGCTGAGTATTTCCCAAGTGGAAGTGCTTCCTCCCGGGGGCAGGGGTCTGTTGCATTTGACCTTGACGCCTCCTCAAGGGCTAATGAAAGCATGCAGGGTGGCTGGAAGAGCGGGGAAGTCTTAGCTCTGGGATGGATGCCAAGTGCTGACGTAAGGAAGGGGCTCTCGCAGCGCACAGGCCACATCAAAAGGGCCTTCTGCGCCCTGGGGAGAGCCCACATGGAATGCATCATCGCTGCTGCAGCCTCCCTGGGGCTGCACGGCCGCATATGTACTCCTGTTTCCCAGAGTGGACTCTGTCTGCAGCGATTGGGACACATGTTTCCCAGCAAGTTTATATGATCCTGTGGGGCAGTAAAGGGGCTTGACCCGGTGTAGTGGAGGGAAACAGTGATAAATTAAGAATTGAGGGGCCGGCCTGGTGGTGTAGCGGTTAAGTTCGAGCGCTCCGCTTTGGCGGCCCGGGATTCACAGGTTCAGATCCTGGGCGTGGACTGACACACCGCTCATCAAGCCATGCTGAGGTGGCGTCCCACACAGAGCAACTAGAAGGATGTACAACTATGACTTACAACTATCTACTGGGGCTTTCGGGAGAAAAACGGAAAAAAGGAGGAAGACTGGCAACAGATGTTAGCTTAGGGCCAATCTTTCTCAAAAAAAAAAAAGTGAAACAAAGTCTCCATGACCAGATGTCTTCATTGGGCCTGACCTCTGACTGGCTTCTTCAGAGTGCGTTTGTCCAGCAGTAGCAGGAATGGGTTGAGTAGGCAGTTCTCTGGATGGATCCCCAAGTTTCCAGAACCCTGAGTGCCAAAGGAAGAGGCAGAGTCACAGGCAGTAAGTCTTAGAAGTTGTCACTTGGCAGCTGAGCCACCGTGTGCGAGCTGCTTCCCGCTCTAAGCCTATTTGCCCATCTGTGCAGTGGGTCTGACGTGGGATCAGATGAGCTGACGCACGGGGAGCACTCTGTCTTACAGGCTAGAGTCCCATGAGAGACGGTGTTTGGACAGAAAGCCCCACTCTTTTATGCTCACACCTTTCTACTGAACTGATGGCAGAGCAGAGTGAACATGCACCCCCATGAGGGGCACGAGCCTGTCATTTCTCTGAAGTCTTCTCTTTGCATTTCACTCCATCATACATTCATTTATGGTAAAAGCATGCTGTCTGTTACATATTGAGTTGCTTATCTGTTTCCTGGTCGCGGACACAGTGAACTCCCAGAAGATGGTGCAGTCCCTCGTGTCTTTGCACGCTCGCACATGGCCCCTCTCGGTGTGTGTCTCCGGCAGGCTGACGGGGTACGGGATCCACCACTGCTTTGCAAGGAGCATGATGGGCCACGAGGTGAAGGTGCCGCTCCTCGAGAACTTCTACGCCGACTACTACACTGTGGCCAGCATCGCTCTGGCGTCCTGCCTGGCCATGTGCGTGGTGGTCAGGTTCCTGGGGCGCAGGGGAGGGCTGCTGCTCTTCATGATCCTCACCGCCCTGGCCTCACTCCTGCAGCTCGGGCTTCTCAACCGTGAGTGGGGCCTGGGGGGAACGGGACAGGCTGTGGGAGCAGAGCCTGGGGGAGGAGAGCTGGCATCAACCAAAGGGTATTTGAAAGGGCTGGGTGAGGCTTTAGAAAAGTTTTCAGTGACCTGAGCTGTTATTCCAAAAACAAAAGCTTGAGGAAACTGTTTTGGGAAGGACCAGCTTTAATTGGAATGTCCATGGTGACTGCCTTGAGTGGGAGGGCCTTTCCTCCTCCCCACCCACCCCAGGGGCTCCAGCTCAGAGCCTTCCTGGCTGCACCAGGACTCCCCAGCCCATGAGGCCCTCAGGTCCCGGTGGATGTGACTTCACTAATGGCCAGACTATTTCTTTGTGACACATCACATGACAAAGAAGAACAAAGGACTTGTTTCTTTTGTGTGAAATTAAGGGGAAAATAAATAAATGTTGACACCCTTGCTGCTTTTCAGTAGACGTTCCCAAGTTCATCAGCTTGTCTTTGGGCCAAAGAATTTCTCAGTAAAGGTTCAAAATAATCTAAAGAAAAGCAAGAGAATCTGTGTAGCCCCTCCAGCTGCAACAGGCAAGCTCAGCACAGCTCCTCAGGAACAAAAGCCACCTTCATGTGTGGAGACAGCTCCGCGGCATCGCTCTGAGCCGCCCGGAACGAGGCATGAGTGAGCAGGGCAGCTGAGCCGCCTTCTCACCCCGGCACAGTCCTCCGGGGACAGGCACAGACGCTGCAGGGAAACAGATGCCACTGATCGTCCCCTCCTTCACAAGGAGAGCCGACCCAGCTGTCAGGATTGGGCTTGGTGACCAGCCAGTTGCCCCACAGATCAGAGCTGCAGAGAAAACAAAGGCCTTCTAGTATTTCAGGTTTGCATGACGTCGTCCGAGGTGTGCGAGTCAGTGTCCGGAACAGAAGGAAGAGAAGGGAAAAGCTCAAAACTTTCTCAGCCTTGTTATGCAAACTGGATTATATAATAGCTAGTTTCAAACTCAGGAGCAATTTTTCTAACTTGGGCAAGTTCTCCTGCATTCTGTGTCTGCCTGGGAGCCTGGTCTTACCTTCAGCTGTGACTAACAGGGGAACAGATGAGTGGTGTCTGTCTCCCACCATCCCGTCCCCCTGGTGGGGGCCGTCCTAGCTACCCTTCCAGGGAGCCTTCTGCAAGCTCATGTGGTTTGGGTGGACAAACAGGGGAGCGGCAGCCGCTGGGAGTGTCACAGATGCCCTCTTTGTCCCTGAGCAGGAATGCCACAGGAACTTGGTGCAGACGAGAGGAGCACACAGAAATGCGCCTCATGGTCTGCCCCCGCGGTACCTCATGCTCCCTTGAGCACAGACCAGCAGAGACTCCTGAATAATTTTATATGCAGTGAAATTAGCCCTTTGGCTTGAGATCGGAGAGATGTGCTCTAGTTCAGAAGAGTTGACTTTTCTCCCCCGGCTCTGAAGCCAGAGGGCTTTAGCACTCCCTTCTGAACAAAGGAGTTTTGTTTAGTCGAGTGCTGATTCCAGTGCCCTGGCCTCCAGCCCCTAGGTCTTCTCCCAGCTCTCTGGCACTCTGGCCCCTGGGTGTCAGCCATGTTCCCTCAGTGGGCCTGGTGGGCTGGCAGCCCTAGAAGGGAGTCCGCTTAGAGGCGAGTCATGTGGAGGTCATGGCTGCACACCTAACGTGCTTTCCTTCTCCCTTTTTCCCACTTTCTTCATCCCCATCCATGTCGGTGCCATCGTTGCCGGCCCAGTGATTGGGAAATACAGCCAGCATCCAGACTCAGGTGAGCCCCCAAATGCCCTGCCATGTGCTTCGTCATCTTTTTATTGCATCCAAGTGGGCGTTTTCGTAAAGACTCACAGACCTGTGGTTTCCCTCTCCTCTCTTTCTCCTCTCTCCCCTTGCCCTCCAAGAGTTGCAGCTGAAGTTGGCCGTAGGTTGGACACTATAAGCATACATTTGTATTCTCTACTCTCTCTTGCCTCTAGAAAGAGCGACTCGTTTCCCGTTTGTGCCCAGCTTGCACGCATGCCCGTCCCGCTTCCCCTGGCACTGGCCGGCAGCACAGGCCCCAGGCTGGCGCCGAGGCAGAGATGCAGTTTGTCTCACAGACAGTGCCTGGGTGGGATCAGAGAGCCCTGGGGAGCGGGGAGGCCTGGCTGACCATGCTGCCAGGGGAAGCTGCTGGCCCCCCTCATAAATCACACAAGCTCGCTGCTCTGGGCGACGGGGACGGCAGAGCCATGGCCTGCACCTCAGTGCTGCTGGTCACACGTGCCTGGCCTGGCCCAAACCCATGCCGCCAGGGCCCTCCGCAGTGAGAGCCCTGAGTTCATGATGCAGCCTTTTGGGGAACAGCTGTGCCCCAAATGTATGACCAATGTGTATGTATGCCCCAAATGTATGCCCCAAATGTATGACCAAGCATGCCAATGCTGCTTGCTAGACGCTGCCTTGGTGTGAGGTCAGACTCTGGTGCCATTTGCAAGATGCTTGGATCAGTTGAGCACTTGCCCTCCAGGCCCATCAATTCTTCTGTTTGGGTTGAGTGTTTGTTCCCTTAAATCAAGCCTAAGATACCATGTCCCATGTATTGGACTGGCCAAACCTGAGGCCAGAATAGCCAGGGTTCTCTGGAGTACAGAGACCTTCTCTGGCGCCAACACAGAAGGCTGGAACAGAGGGATGTTGCTATAGCACTGGGGAGACGACCAGCCTCCCTTCTTGCCAGCCTGGCTCTTGGCCTAAGGAATTCTGGCAGAGTCAGTGTGAGCGCCAGCATTCTGGACCCACAAGGCACTCACAGGGACCCTGACAAAGTCTTCTGCCAAGAGGACTCTGACCTCCTACGCCTGGAGGCGCTCCTCCATCTCCGAGGGAACTGAGCACCCTGGTCTGCACCTCAACCTGGGAAGCAGGGAAGAGGGCCAGCCCTGCGTGGGCTCCCAGGCCCCCCTCGTCCCCTCTCCCTCTGCTCTCCCGCCCCAGCCTTAGGCTTCCTTTTCCCTTCCCTCCTGCTCCCCCCTCACCGACCCCTCTGGTTCTCCTTCAGGTATGAGTGACAGTGTCAAGGACAAGTTCTCCATCACGTTCTCCATCGTGGGCATGTTCGCCTCCCATGCAGTGGGAAGCCTCAGTGTGTTCTTCTGTGCGGAGATCACCCCCACAGTAATAAGGTACGTATTGGAGACGCCCCATGGCACGGTTCTTCTCAGGACTCAGGAAGGGCGTCCTATTTAGCAAGGCTCCTGCAGAGTTAATCAGCATCAGCTCCATTTCGCCCTGGCCCCCGGACGAGGGTAAGGCAGGCATGCTGGGCAGGTCAGCCTCAGATGCGGAGCTTCGCCCTGACCCCGAGGCAACGGAGAGTCAGGTGAGAACTTGACCCTGGGCCCCGTCCAGGCAGGAGCCAGAGGAACGGAAAATTTTGGGGGAGTATAGGAAACACGGGAATGACTGGAAAAGGGGAGAAATTGGTAGATCACTTAACTTGGGCCCACACTGCAACTGAAATCAAATGCTGTCAACTCTTCTAAGAAGAGACCTCAATAAAAAGCTATTCCATAATAACAGGTGAAGTAGAAAGGGCCTTATTTCTTTACTGGCCTGAGAAGTTGATGTCTCTAGTCCAAGGAAAGGCCTCAGAGAGAGAAGGCCTAGCAAATTATATCATTGATTTATTTAACAAATATTCTTGGAAAATGCACTATATACCAGGCCAATGAGCGGGACAGCAGACTCTGGCCCTCACAGAGTCTGTGATTACTTCAGACCTTCCTGGAAGGTGGTATTCACCTGCACTCAGCTACTTCTGTTTTAGTTCATGACGTGAGGTTTGATCCTTTCTGGTGCTATCCCTGGCTAGTGGTACATGGGCGCCACACTCCATTTGATGTTATTACGATGATAGCATAGCAAAGGGCATCACTTAATTGCAAAGTCATTTCGTTTTCCTGGTAATTACGGTTTGTGACTTACAGAAGAGCTCATCTTGATTTATATCACACTGACCTTTGTATGGGAACATCATTAGCACTTCTAACACACTCACTTTTTTGAAATATAAAGTGTGAGTATGGGCAACTATTCAGCTGTGAGATGAAACCCAGAAGTCAGCATGACCACACCCTCCACCCTAACTCGCCCACATGGGAAAACAAGTCAAGGCCAGTACAGTCCATGGTAGGGTTTGTGCAGACTCATCATTTTGGCCCCTCGGGGGCTGGAAGGACTCTGGGAGAAGGCAGGTATGTTCACAGACTTTCTTCCTTCCCACATCTCCTGTAGTCATGCTGACAGTTGAATTTGCACATGACCTCATTGTGAGTCATTTTCTTGGATTTTTACAATACACGCCAAGCCTGAAGACTACTAGGTACCTGTGGAATAAAATGCCAAGGAATTGTATATTTAAGAAAAAAGCAATTACATGCCAAGTGATTCATCCTGTTCCATCCCTCTGTGGCAGCCCAGGTGAAGAGCGGAGCCTGAAGCCTATTTCATGCTGGAAGTCGCAAAATGCCTTAGGCAGAGAGCAGCTCCCTCTGTGTCTTGTCTACCTGGTTAAATTTCCTTCCTTTACAAAAGAACACAGCAAAGAGGATTCTTTCAATGGAGCAGAAGTCGAGGTTAGATCTTGTGGCTTCCCGGCCTACCGCAGCCTTTGTGTGTTAATGTATGACCACCCCATAACCCTGGTAGTTGGCAGACCTCATTAATCATTGTTAGATTGTGCTTAACAAGCTAAACGGAAGGAAACACAGTATCCTTTTCCTCTTTGATGCAAACCTGGAAAGAGTATTTGGGGATAGAAATTCAACAAATTTGCTCTCAGATTCAGCTTGCCAAGATAACAAACTAGAAAAAGATCTGGCGCTCGGTGATGTTTTTGTACTTGTGGAGGATGAAAGGAAGTTGAGTCTAGAGGGGTCTCCTGGCCCAGCTGGAAGAGCTCCTGCGGTTACTGAGGAGCCAGTCACTCTCCCTACAGTGACACCTTCTCACCCCTTGCTTCGAAGGCCGTCTCTTCCTGCCTGTACATGCGGGGACAGTTCCCACACAGTCCCTGGGACGGAAACGGACTTCCTGACCCTCCCCCCACTTCACACATATAAATCCAAGATAAGCTAGGATAGGCAGCTTGGGGTCTGTGAGCTTCATTTTTCTTAATACAAAACTAGCCTTTTTCTACAATGCTGTATTAAAAACACACCTTCTGAACAGGAACAGTAGCAAAGGTTAAGATGCCAGGATTGACTGACTGAGGCAAAGATGCCAGGATTGACTTCCTGTGAAGCAAATAAGATAAGAACTTTTTTGCACAAAGACTTGCAGAAATCCGTTGTCCAAGAGTGACAGCAATGACCTGTGTGTAATGTGACATATGGAGTCTGTTTAGCTGCTTTTAAAATTTGTCTTCAAAATATATATATATAATGTTTATAACAAATGCTCAGTGAGTGACCAGAAGCCTAGGAGATGAGGCACAAGCTAAAAGTTAAACAGCAGGATGAGGGATAACCCAAGGGCAGAGGTTGTGGCCTAGAGCCCAAGACCCAGTCTTTAGCACAGAGGAAAAAGCAAGAGGGAGCCGTGTGTGATCCCAGAGGCCACTATCCCTGTGTGGCCTTGGGTGAGTCTGTTAGCCTTCATCTCTGGCTAAAATGAGACTAGTCGTGATCCCCTGGTTATGTGGTGGTGAGGGAGACTATATGTAAAGGGTCTGGCTACAGTAAATGACAATTGATAGTATTAATTATTCCTACCTGAATATTTCTGGCAGTTATATTTATTTCTGTAAAAATTGGCACAAGTATTTGTTGATCCTTGACTTCACAGAAATGTTAGTAAAGACAAATTTAAGTAAGGTAAAAGAAGAAGTAAAAAATGGGAGGTTTTTTTCTTGTTTTTAAATGCAAGATGCTGGTATTTACGTGTTGAAAAGAATGATTTGAAGATTCTGGAATTCTTAATTCAAGCTTGCTACTTCTCATAATATCTATGTTTCAGTCTTTCTATCCTTTAGGTAATTTTTATTACTAGTAAAATAATATATCCATTGGATATTAACATTCTTTGTGCTCCTAAAGCACAAGAAGGCAAAACTTGCCCCTGGCTCCCTTTTATCTCTAAGCCGAGATGGCTGCCTGCTCTGATATTTAAACATGGGTATATGCTACCCTCTAGTGATAACCTAGAGAAAAGCAGAAAATGCACAAGTCAGCATTTAGGGGAAAGAAAACGAAGCACCTTAAAACCAAGCATGTAATGATCCCATTCTCTAAACTGAGAATCCAAAAAAAAAAGCCAAAAAGGGTATACCAAATTCCACCAAAATTATTCTTAATCTTACTGAATAATTTCAAGGTATCCTTGACAGAAAACCAAACAAAATTTCTTTCATGGAAAAAAATATATAAAGGTATATTACATATTATATATGCATATGTACATATATTGCATATTATATATATACGTTTATATGTATGTAGGCACTTTTTTAAATGAGCCATCTAATCCTACTGTAAATCAAATATCCTTCATTTCATTTGATGTGATTTATCAACATCATATATTAACATGACGTAGTTCACTTGGCGTTACGGAGGGAGACTTGTGCAGTGCTGAGCACGGCTCCTTTAACAGTGAGTCCATGCATATCCTTCCGTGTGGCTCTGTGCACTCCACCTCCCCATACATTAACCCACGCGTGGATGTCACATGCACTGAGCAAGGTCAGTCTCTCTCGCTGCTTGTCATTGCCATCCACACTCAGTGACAGGAAGGTCAGGCGGAAACTCAGGAGGTATCAGAGAAAATGATGTCTTAAAATGGTATCAAAGGCCCCAGTGAAACATAGCTATTATCTCTGGCATCCAGTATGTCCCCTGCAACATCCTGTGGCTCCTGAAGTGGCCAGAACTCTCAACAAGACTAAATGGCTATTTTAGGTGTTCATTTTATTCACCTTACAGATGGATTCAATCACATTGCTCTTTATAATGGTCATCTATAGTTAACCTGTCCCACTAATTTGGGTGAGCTGACCTTCCTACCTAGGAAGCCAGTGTAATCCACAAGCATCCAATATTTATTGAGCGTAAACAATGTGTGCCAGTTCATGTTCTAGAAAATACTCTTTGTCCTTGAAAGGCTCATAGATTAATAAGGATGGTAGGCATCTGAACAAATACTATCAGAAAGGTGCACAGTAAGAGTCTTTAAAAGGTGGTCTGGGACCCTCTGCCTGGGAAGTGGGTTGGTACCTGGGACACATTCCGAAAATATTGCTCTTCCTCATTTGTGTCCCCTTGATGGCCCCATAGAACAATGGTGTGACTATTCTCACCTCCTTTCAGTCTCTCCCTCAGCAAAAGATTTTCTAATACACAGTAATGATGACACATCATAGCCTGGGTGAGAGGAGGCTGTCTATCTTCTTCCATGGCGAAGGCCAGGGAATTCCATCACTCACTGAGTGTATTAGTTATCTTTGCTGTGTAGCAAATCACCCCTAAAATTTAGTGGCTTAAAACAACACATGCTTATTGCCTCACCATTTCTGTGGGCAGGAGTTGGCATGGCCTAGATGGCCTCTCTGCTTCAGGGTCTCCCACAGGCTGCAATCAACTGGAGCAAGACTGGCCCCCAAGCTCATTCAATAACTGGCAGGTGTCTTAGTCCCTTCAGACAGGTGGAACAGAATACCACAGACTGGGTGGCTCCTAAACAACATTTCTCACAGTTCTGGAGGTAGGGAAGTCCAAGATCAAGGTGTCAATAGACTTGATGTTTGGTGAGAGCTGCTTCCTGGTTCACAGATGGCTGTCTTTTCCCTGTGTCCTCACATGGTGGAGGGGCGAGGGAGCTCTCAGGGGTCTCTTTTATAAGGGCACTAACCTCATTCATGAGGGCTCTACCATCATGACTGTCGAAGCAAAATAACCGATAACCATTCTATGGATAAGAGAAATAAGGTGAGTTTTACTTGAGCCAAACTGAGGATTATAACCCATGAATGCCTTTTCCACAAAGGAAGAAAGTGTTCTGGAGAAGCATGGTTTTCAGTACAGTCTTACACTTTTTAGAACAAAGAGCATACATTAAACACGCCCAGGATACATATTCATCAAAGTTTCAAAGAGGTATTCAGCTGAAAATTAGCAAGTCACCATGA